CCGTAGCAAGATATTCACCGATGACCTAGTTGCCCTACACATGAAGAAAAGCCACATAAAATTCAACCGGCCTCGATTTATCCAAACACCTGATGTACGACTTTTACTACAACGAGCTTAAGAAACAGTACGACGACAGGTGTGAAGTGCTGTACACTGACACGGATTCCCTGCTGATGGAGATTCGAACTGAGGACGTGTACAAGGACATGAAAAAACACCTCGATTTGTACGACACCAGCGACTACCCCAAGGACCATGCCATACACAGTACGGTAAATAAAAAGGTCCTAGGTAAGATGAAGGATGAGTGTGCCGGCACGCCCATAACCGAGTACATAGGTTAGACCTAAGATGTACTCCATACTGAAAGCCGACAATAGTGAGATCCGGAAGGCTAAGGGTGTTAAGAAGTACGTGGTTAAACAACACATCAAACACGCCAGATTCAAGGAAGCCCTGTTCAAGACCCGTACCTTTAGACATAAAATGAACACGCTTAGAAGTGATGGGCATAAGATATACGGACTGACTATAAACAAGACGTCCCTGTCACCTATGGACACTAAACGTTGGATAGCTATTGATGGGATAAATACATACGCGTACGGGCATGAGAAAATTGAACCAAGACATGTCACGGAACCAGAAAAAGTTTGAGGCTATTTACTATAGCCCGCGTGGGTACTGGAAAGGAGCTAGTGCTGTAGATAAGCTGGCTAAAATGGAGCGAGTACCCCCGGAGGAGGCCAAAGCGTGGCTTGAAAAACAAGTCCTATGGCAGATCTATTTACTGGCACCACGCTACGTGCCTAGAAGGAGGTTCGGTATTAACATACCTAATAGCGTTCACCAGGCCGACCTCCTATTCCTACCCCACGACAAGAGGTACAAGTATACCTTAACCGCAGTGGACGTAGCCAGTCGCTACAAGGAAGCCGAACCCTTGACTGCGAAAGATTCTGCCCAGGTAGCCAGAGGATTCGAACACATATACAAACGCAGCCCGCTGACGTGGCCAACAGAGCTGCAAGTTGACCCCGGGCGGGGGGTTCATGGGTGCCGTGTCACACCTGTTAGACAAACACGATACAAAGGTCAGGCGTGGCACGGTAGGGGCCCATCACAGCCAAGCCATAGTTGAGAGATTCAATAGGACTTTGGCTGAGCGCTTATTCGGGCATCAGTATGCGAGGGAGATGGCCACCCTGGGAAAACGATCGACAGAATGGGTCGCAAGGTTGCCTAAGGTGGTGTCGGCAATCAACCATGAAGTCACCCGTCTCACCGGCAAGAAACCGGTAGACGCTATCAAACTAAAATCAATAGTGGCAGAGTCGGCTGCTCCATTACGTGGAAAGGAGAAACAGATACCAGATAGGGCCCTAGTTAGGTATCTATACCAGCCTGGGGAACACGAGGGTGATAGCCGTAAGCGAGCCACTGACCCAATATCGTCAGTCAAAACTTACAACATAGATAAAGTGGACATGAAAGCCGACGAGCCTAACTTGTACTACTTGAGGGATGGGCCAGGGAGAGGGTTTGCAAGAGCGGAATTATTGTTCGTACCGTACGGCACAATGTTACCTCCTGTCAACACGGCATAGCGACACGATGATGCAATCCCAGGATACCAACCTACTTTAACCATGTCCCCGGTAGTTAAGCGGCGTGGACATGTGCAGTTCGTTTCCCGCTAGCGTCCCAAACTTTTTTATAGTAGGGGTAATGGTAGCAAGAGCTTTGGGAAATAAGGCTTTGCAGAGGCTTCTGTTGGACCTGGTCCAGAACCCCCATTGTATATACTACTCCACATGTCATCAGTGTTCATCACCTGAAACATGTCATACCACATATCATCTGTATTCATCACATGAAACATGTCATACCACACGTGATCAGTGTTCATCATATGAAACATGTCATCACCACATACATGAAATCATGTCATACCACACGTCATCAGTGTTCATCATGAAACATCTCACATTGTCATACCACATGTCATCAGTGTTCATCACATGAAACATGTCATACCACACGTCATCAGTGTTCATCACATGAAACATGTCATACCACATCATCAGTGTTCATCAGATGAAACATGTCATACCACATATCATCAGTGTTCATCACATGAAACATGTCATACCACATACACGTCATCAGTGTTCATCACATGAAACATGTCATACCACACGTCATCAGTGTTCATCACATGAAACATGTCATACCACACGTCATCAGTGTTCATCACATGAAACATGTCATATCACATGTCATCAGTGTTCATCACATGAAACATGTCATACTACATGTCATCAGTGTTCATCACCTGAAACATGTCATATCACATACATCTCATCACCATTCGTCACCTGAAACATATCATATTTTGTATGTTTTCACACTGACTTTAACGCGATATACGAACACTAACGAATTCATGTTCTCAACAACATTGTGCCCAGATATTCAAGCTGGCATTGTGTACAAGATTTTCAGAGCTGAAACTTGTGTGACCATTCAGTATTTAGTTTGAACCCATGGCACCATGTATGAATAAGTGAAAACATTAGCATAAGTTATGTCCTTATGATTACGTCATCTGAACGGGGGCCGGTAGTGTCTCAAGCACACAATGTTTCTTGCATATTTTGTTTCCTGAAGTTTGTGACGCATTTATTGCAGACTTCGCGATTTTCTGGGTTTGTTTTGTTTGTTGTTTGTTGTTGTTTTGGGGGTTTTTGTGGGGGTTGGTTTTTTTGTTGTTGTTGTTTTGAGGGGGGGGGTAGCAAGATGAAAAGTCAAATAAAATGGGGATGGTGATGCTGAAACATAGCAAAACCAATTTGCTTCAGTTTGACAGATAATATGTAGAGAAATAAAAGACAAAAACAGCTGCATTTGTATCATGTTGTAAGTGAGGCTGACTGCTAAATGTTGTGCTTCATGTCCACATCATGATAAGAAAAGAAAAAAAAGCATTCACGGAAGAAACTTAAAATGTTTGTTTTTTTTCAAACTGAAATATTTATTTAATGAACAAAATGCTACCTGTTCTCTATATTCATCACTATAGTTTCATTTTGTCATGCTCAGTTCGTGTCGTTTTTTGTCCAGAAACACACTGAGAACCTTACTTCTAAGCCTCCAATGTCGTCCTGGAACAGCAGTGTTATTGTCCCATAGTCGGAGTGTTCTCCACAGCGAACTTGACCTGGCTTTACGGCTGTAGATGCAGAATTGGAAAGTCTTTGTAATTTATTAGATTGCATATGTACTCGTAAGAGAGAATTGTATATTTGAAAATGCAGTTATATAGTTCATTATTCACACCCTACACCCTACACCCTACACCCTACACCCTACAACCTACAACCTACAACTACAACCAGACCCCTCCCTTACAGAAAAACACACCTCAACGTTGTATACAAAGTAATTGCAACAGTTCAACCCACTTCACACTGAACAGGAACAATCCTTACATTCAGGCAGAGCGGGGTAGTACAGACTTCTCAGTGTGGTGGCGCCGCCTTTCTTGCCCATCAGATTGTGACACTTACGCAGGTAATAGCGATCCTAAAACACGGGGAGAAATTGAGACACTCAAGCAGGTAATAGCGATCTTGAATTACGAGAACAAATTGAATTCTGGAACAGATACAGAAACTGAAATATTCGATACTGGAACATGAAACTGAAATCTGATCCCAAAAGGTGGAAAAATTGAATCTGAAATCAGACTACCTTGACTATCCTCAAAAGCAGGACCATCTTAAATGTAATGGCTCATATTTCAGACCGGTAGACAGGGCATAATTCACCTCATGAATCAACGATGGATGTCGTACCTGAAGCTTGAGGCTGATAGACAGGACATCAAGGATTCTGTCTGTCAAGTTTCTGCAGTCATCATAGAATGACACGAACGTGGACTTAAATTCCGCAGGATTCTCCGGCCACAGCTGTAACAGACCAACCTTACTCTTGTGTCACCTAGGGGGATTTGCAGGAGACTGTATAAAGGACATGGTAGGATAATTGCCGTACGTGAACCTCTGTATAAAACTTAAGGTTTTTGAAGGTATAGGTATGAAAATAATCAGATATTTTCATGAATTGCTGACATGAAACCATTTTTCCACACGTTCAAGTTTTATACTTATGACATCACTTAGCAAATTAATATCCCTGCGAATAACAACACAAGGGCAGTATTTCGAAAATCTACTTAGGAAGAATTCCTTTTTCCAACGATAATGTATCACCTAAGACTTGCCCATGAATAATAATTAAGAAAATAGTTTGTTTTGCTTACATAAAATAATACTTATCGTATTAACTCACAAGGGATTGCTATTGTCGGAATGTGTTCTTTATAGCTGAGGGTGGAGTAAACCACCACATTTCAGTTACATCACAATGTTTCAACTTTATAGTGGATGAAATGCCAAATCAAGGCAGGTCGTAACTGTCTACCACTTTGGTGTAACACACTATAATCCACATGATGCTGATACACCAAGATACATGATCAGCATCAACCGGGATTCGAACACATGGTAATAGGTTCCTGGCACACACAAGGGGCGAAACTGTGCACAGAGAAGTGATGCGCCTTAGACGACGAACTCAAAAGTTTGAAAATCTCTGTTCACTTTTCTTGCTACAAAATATGGTTCATATGAAGACTTTTAAACAATTTCCAAGTTTTAATAGCAACATGAAGTGTATGTGAGAACACTTGATGCAAAAGAAAGTTTTGTAACAGTGTGTCGCTAAACGATGAATTCCTTGAGTGAGTGGGTCTAATTTTACTCCGCTTTATATTCCAGCAATATCACGACGGGGGACATCGGCAATGGGTTTCACACATTGTACCGATGTGAGGAATCAAACCCGGGCCTTAGGCGTGACGATCGAACGATTTAACCGCAAGGCTATCCCATCGCCATTTGAACTCCTTGAGCTAAAATAATTCGCTTTATAGATCTTTATAGATCACTCACACAAAGTTTCAGTTTCTTGTGATGTACAAACGTCAAGTATAGATTAATATCCACATCACTGCTCAAGAACGGTATGTTGTATGATATATCTTGAGTCCATTAGAAACTACTCACTCGTCGGGTTTCAGTACAATCGGAATTCAAAGCTACCACAACAAAAGGTAATTTCAATCTAGCTTCCATAGGTTTTTGGTGTTTTTTCGATAATGAATGAGTGAGTTTATTTCTGCAAGTAGGCCATCGGCCCATGCACAATCACGTGAAACAAAAATTCATTTTAGACAAGATAATATACATGTTATAATTATTTACACACTTTTGATGTGATCACCAGGGTATACTTAATATACTGCACAGTGTGTGGAACAATACTGGTATCATTACATTATAAATATAAACTTCCTAACATTACATGTGCATCACCGACAAAACGAAAATCTAATTTCATCCTCAGTTATTGTTACACATTTTACATATGGCTATGCTAAGAATAAAAATTGAAATTCTTGAAAAGAGTCTTGAAATGTTCAAGTGCCACCATAGTGGTTACAAAGATTCCAAGATTCAGCAAAGAGATTTCTTATGAGCAGTCTTTACGTATATGCCTGCAGATAAGCAGACCATGACCTAAGATCATTACGTTCAGCCAGGTGAGCTTCAAGCAGGATACACATTCCTGATAATAAACAATCGTAAATACCCCATCATGTCCGGGTGTAACGTTGAACGCTTCCTTCAAATCTCCAACCTTTCGCTCGGGATTCAACCTTTTGGGGAAATAAACAAAGAGGTATCACTGAACTGAGCCGTTTTGAACGGTATGGATCTCGGCAACTTCCCTATAATCAGTAGACTTTGGACAAGGCTAAAGGAAACCTTTCCCGTTATCTGCCTTAACCAATTTAGTATGTAGTGGACATGGTACAAAAATGAATCTGTCAGATATTTAGTTGTCTCCGAACAAGTCAGGCTGTAAACAAATTAAAATCAAATTTAATTTCATTAATAAATCAACTACAAAAATGGACGGAGCTACCAAATAAATGAAGTGAAAATAAGGATACAATTATTCGGTGACTCACGATTCGCTCTCCAGGGCAACCCAGCCATGGTTACCATGATCTGCCAGGACTCGAGCAGATTTCCTTTTTTCTTCCACGGGTTGATCAAAGAAACTGTTGGATACAGAGAACATGGCATCGACCTGGAATAACAATACCTGTGTACAGTCGACCTGTGTACAGTTGTACAAAACAACCTTAGCGCTAGGACTGTCGTAATGCATAAGCCTATGTTAAGGTATGGGAGCTCGGTCACCTTTGAGCAGCGCTAAGATTTGTGCAACGGCAAACATCGTGAAGGAAACAAGCAAAGTATGAATATAACACTGCATGGTCGACTGATGAGGGTATTTTGTTCTTATGGGTGAAGTATGACGGCACTGTATTAATATACACTTCCATTCCATAGGTGAGATATGACGGCCATAGGTGAGATATGTGTATTAATATACACTTTCCATAGGTGAGATATGACGGGACTGTATAGATATACACTTTCCATAGGTGAGATATGACGGGACTGTATGAATATACACTTTCCATAGGTGAGATATGACGGGACTGTATTATTATACACTTTCCATAGGTGAGATATGACGGCACTGTATTAATATACATTTTCCATTGGTGAGATATGACGGCACTGTATTAATATATACTTTCCATAGGTGAGATACGACGGCACTGTATTAATATACACATTGCATGGATGAGATATGACGGCACTGCATTGATATACACATTTCATGGATGAGATATGACGGCACTGTATTGATATACACATTGCATGGATGAGATATGATGGCACTGTATTGATATACACGTTGCATGGATGAGATATGACGGCACTGTATTGATATACACATTTCATGGATGAGATATGACGGCACTGTATTAATATACACATTGCATGGATGAGATAAGACGGCACTGTATTAATATACATTTTCCATAGGTGAGATAAGACGGGATTGTATTGATATACACTTTCCATAGTTGAAATATGACGGCACTATATTAATATATACTTTCCATAGGTGAGATATGACGGCACTGTCTTAATATACACATTGCATGGATAAGATATGACGGCACTGTATTGATATACACATTTCATGGATGAGATATGACGGCACTGTATTAATAAACACATTTCATGGATGAGATATGATGGCACTGCATTGATATACACATTGCATGGATGAGATATGACGGCACTGAATTGATATACACATTGCATGGATGAGATATGACGGCACTGTATGAATATACACCATGCATGGATGAGATATGACGGCACTGTATTGATATACACTTTCCATAGGTGAGATAAGACGGCACTGTATTAATATACACTTTCCATAGGTGAGATAAGACGGGATTGTATTGATATACACATTGCATTGATGACATATGATGGCACTGTATTGATATACACCATGCAAGGGTGAGATATGATGGCACTGTATTGATATACACATTGCATGGATGAGATATGACGGCACTGTATTGATATACACATTGCATTGATGAGATATGACGGCACTGTATTGATATACACATTGCATTGATGACATATGATGGCACTGTATTGATATACACATTGCATGGATGAGATATGATGGCACTGTATTGATTATACACATTGCATGGATGAGATATGACGGCACTGTATTGATATACACATTGCATGGATGAGATATGATGGCACTGTATTAATATACACATTGCATGGATGAGATATGATGGCACTGTATTGATATACACATTGCATGGATGAGATATGATGGCACTGTATTGATATACACATTGCATGGATGAGATATGACGGCACTGTATTGATATACACATTGCATTGATGACATATGATGGCACTGTATTGATATACACCATGCAAGGGTGAGATATGATGGCACTGTATGAATATACACGTTGCATGGATGAGATATGACGGCAATGTATTGATATACACATTGCATTGATGAGATATGACGGCACTGTATTGATATACACATTGCATTGATGACATATGACGGCATTGTATTGATATACACATTGCATGGATGAGATATGACGGCACTGTATTGATATACACATTGCATTGGTGAGATATGATGGCACTGTATTGATGTACACATTGCATGGATGAGATATGACTGTACTGTATTGATATACACATTGCATGGATGAGATATGATGGCACTGTATTAATATACACATTGCATGGATGAGATATGATGGCACTGTATGAATATACACATTGCATGGATGAGATATGATGGCACTGTATTGATATACACATTGCATGGATGAGATATGATGGCACTGTATTGATATACACATTGCATTGATGACATATGACGGCACTGTATTGATATACACCATGCAAGGGTGAGATATGATGGCACTGTATGAATATACACATTGCATGGATGAGATATGACGGCACTGTATTGATATACACATTGCATTGATGACATATGATGGCACTGTATTGATATACACCATGCAAGGGTGAGATATGATGGCACTGTATTGATATACACATTGCATGGATGAGATATGACGGCACTGTATTGATATACACATTGCATGGATGAGATAGGACGGCACTGTATTGATATACACATTTCATGGATGAGATATGACGGCACTGTATTAATATACATATTGCACGGATGAGATATGACGGCACTGTATAAATATACACATTGCATGGGTGAGATATGACGGCACTGTATCAATATAGTAGTATATACAATGGGGGTTCTGGACCAGTTCCAACCAAAGCCTCTGCAAAGCCTTATTTCACAAGTAAGGCTTTGGTCGGACCCTTAGCTCTTGCTACCATTACCCCTACTATAAAAAAGTTTGGGACGGTAGCGGGGTACGAACGCCCAATGTACGCGCTACCGGGGACATGGGTGAAGTATGTTGGTATCCTGGGATTGCCGCTATGCCGTGTTGACAGGAGGTAACACTGTGCCGCTATGTCACGTTTACCTCGATGAAACAGTTTAATGTGAATCGCCTATAATCTCTTTGGTGTTCGTAATAAAGGCTTGCCGGGCTTTTTGTACTCCCTGTTCTATGTACTTTTTTTTCTCATCCTCGCTGATAGCAGACTTACGAGACTTGGATCGAATCTCTTGTTTCATTTTGTTATATTTTGTGAGTTCAGATAGAATTGAACGAAACTCCTCCTCTGAGATCTTACTGTCAGTGAGTGCAGTGGAAATACGCTCACTTACTGTGTTCAGCTTTGCTTCAGCCAGAACCCTGATCTCGTCGTGTTTCAATGCCTTACGATGCAGTCTGCGTGATGTCAACTTAAGCGCGCCAACCCTAACACCCCTGCCACCCCAGCTGTTATTTCGATGCCTAGCACTATAGGTGCAGCCACGATGGTAGCTAATAACCCAACACCTGCCGCCCCTAGGCCCATGCTGGTTACTATAAGGGCAGTGTCAGCCCCGTCCACGATATTGAAAGCTCTATGGTACTTTTTACATAGTGCTTTCCGCGTGTCGCGGTCTTGTTCTAGTTGGCGTTTCACATCACATAACTGCCTCAAACGGAACCCATCTACGGTTTCCAGTGTCTTAGCTACTTCCTCTACGACTGGGTACAGCCCCATCCTGTGTGTATATAATATATTCTAAAAAATATCTTTAAAATGTGCGTTATTTACTGTTTGCTCAGTGTATTTGAAGCTTATAAGTCTTAGACTCTTGTACAGGGAAATAGGGGAGAGGGAAATAGGTAAATTTGCGAACACATAAATATTAAGGGGGGTGGCCTTCTAAGGTGTGTATTGAGGGGGTTATAGAACCCGTTGAGGGGTCCGGTTGTATGATGATACGATTATATTTGGTCGCCTCTTGCCCATAGCTTAATATCACCCCGGTAAAATTGTAGTTGTACAGGATCACTCCCAATGAAGTAGACTTCTATGGCGAGTGTGGAGCCTGGTTTCATCTTCATAAGGTCCAATTGGGAATTGGGGACGTCAAACTTTAACTTATCCCACGAGCCTGAAGTAACTAACGAGTTACCCGTGTGATCCCCCATTAGTTGAGCACTTATAGTATACTTCGGAACGAAAGATCCGAACAATATACCATTGTTCCTAATTTCGGAGACCTCCCTATCTTTGTTTAACGAGATATAAGGTGAGGTGAGGGTCATGTTGAGCAACCATTTGGGTTCTATAAATGGTAGGCGCCGCACGTACACACCGTTTTTAAAGTGTAGGATGTACGAGGTGTCTTCCTCACCAGGCTGGTCGAATCCCTCTATACCTCCTAGGTCCCCGAGTGTGGGTTTGGGTAGATGATCGGTTATTGCCACCCGCCTATACACACCGTTTTTAAAGTGTAGGACGTATGAGCCTTCCTCACCAGGCTGATCGAATCCTTCCTCCCCAGTGTGGGCTTGATCGATCGGCCATTGCTGCCCGCCTATACACGTTGTCTTTCAAGTGTAGGACGTATGAGCCACCTTCCTCACCAGGCTGATCGAATCCCTCCGTGTCCCCTAAGTCGTTAAGTGTAGTGTTGGGGTGAATCCAAGACATTGCTATAATACTATTATGATATAATTTCCAACTGGTTTTCTGATAATAGTTCAGGGGTGCACTTCACCCCCATGAAGTGTATGTTGTCGGGTAGGAAGATCTTGGTTAGTGATATAGTGTCTTCTACGATCACGGTGACACCCTGAAGACTGGTTTTGGAGTCGACACCCACCCGCACGTAAACGTTGCAAACTTGATACTGGTGTTGTTTCCCCAACCGGAGTTTGACCCCCTTCACGATTTCGACATTATCCCGCGATGGTTCCCCTAGGTAGACTTGGATGATCAGTGTTGAGTTCGCTGGTAGACTCTCTAGGATCTTGACCACGCCTTCGAATTCAGACACCAACTGCAATGTCACGTTTTGTATGCCCGCTTTACTCGATAGCATGTGGGCTGCCATACTGTTGAGTGGGCTGATGACTACGCTACGTCTCTGAGTCGGGACGTAAGCCACGAGCAGGGTTCCGTTGTTCACGACTTTGTTTAGGTGGTTGTCTTTGTTATCCGTGAACACGTAGGGGGAGCCGAGCCTAATATTGAGAAACCAGTCGACTTTATCGGGTA